CTGCTGTGCCAGAGAATTTATTAACGCTGTTAAATTGTCAAATTTCACCAATAATATTAATTCAGTTCAAGAGAGCGATTCAAGGACCACTTACAGTATACTTCAATCGGTAAATTTTTACTTTAACGAAGATGCATTTTTTTTTCCATTTGTAGGAACTCCCCGACCGTATCTACGATCAGGAAGTACTTAACAGCGAAAAACACGTGGAAACCAAGAGCGTCGAAGAAGAGTCAACAAGCAAATACGAAAGGATCTTTGACGCATCTGAAACAGTCAAGCCTGCTGAAAAGGGAAAAGAAGAAGAGGAAGAAGAAGAGAAGAAGGAAGAGGGAACACTGATCGAGTCTCTCAATAGAAATGAGGAAACTCAACAAGTGGTTGGTACTCGCTGACGTGTACATTCAAAGTTGGATTCATTTAACATTAGAGGAATAATCCTAGTCTTTATACCATCCACCTCTACACTAGAAATTTCTCGCTCCAATACTCTGAGAGATTATTATTTCAAAAAGAAAAAGAATGACAAATCATTGACAAACAATCTGTTTCTATTTGGAGGCGAAAAATCCCCATTTAAAAATCAAGAATATGAAATGAAAATTCATTCCGGATTGATTTTCACGCTGTGAAACTGCTTCATTTGATCGATTAATCGATCAGGCCGAGGGAATGGGCAATTTCCTCGCTTTCCCTTCCTGATCGGTGGAAAGCAATTCGCTTTCGATGCCACGCGAAGCGCTGACTAATCATATCAGGAGAAATATTTGCGTCATCCGACGTATAAATCGTTGATAAACACGCGTGAGGAATTACGAAATGCGGCCGAAATTGCAGCACGTTGTAGACGTTACATTCAGCAAGTCACGGCAAAAGGAAACGGTTATCTCCTCGTTATATATACGCCAGAAATTCATACTTATTGCGAAAATCCATTCCACACGTATTTTCAATTCTCGGATAATCGTCTGACGCCGCGCTTTCACTCGAAGCGTAAAAGGAAACGTCTCTGTTAGCTTAGATTATTACGTTGCACATGGTATCCAGATACATGCGCGTTCATTTTTGCGTAAAAATAGCCATCATTTCGTGTAAACGTGCGCGCAACTCCGTGATGTTCGTTTGAAATCGAAAACCAACTGTTGCTGGATCTTCAGATGAGATCTTCATTTTGATTTTGGTTCATACTTCAATTAATAGCAAGTTTCTAACTTAAAAATCGTACAAAATATCATTAGGTGATTCCTTAATCACCGAGGGAGAATTTTCCAGTTTCCACCTTTTTTTTTCTCTCTTTATTCGGTGACTTTATTCGAGTTCATTGATCAATGTTAAATCTATTATTATACGTTATACGTAGTAATATCTGTCATTTCAGGCTGAATGCCAACAGCAATTTTCCAAGCAGCTAGTTCAACCGTACGTCCTGCCTATGAAAGCAAAAAGCGCCTCGGGAAACGCATCGAGCGAGTCGGCGGATGCTCCAGGGTCGACGAGAGTCAGTCAAGGCACAGCCAAAAACGAAACAGTCACGGTGGAATACATCCCGTCTGAAGAAATAATCTTGCAGGACTACTCTAGCTACAACTCTCAGGAAAGTAGCGCCAACGACCTGAGCCAAACAGTTTTCTCTAAAGAAAGCCTGGGTGACGTTGAAAATGTGGGGGAGTTTGGGCAACGAGTTCGCGGCTCGTCTCCACAATTCAGATCGAGAAGCAAC